GACTGTACAGACCACATCTCAGCACGGTGTGTTCGACCACTGCCAGCAAACGTTGAAGGAGAGCTGGATGCGTGGGCTGCTGCCCTGGGGAAGGCTGGTGGGTTTGGCTGTGTTCTGGTCGGGGCATGGCTGGGATTCGTGCTGGCCACCAGCAGGTAATGCTGGAAGCAATTCTGTCTGTCACAGTATGAGCTCTTGTTGAGCTTGGGTGCCTTCGCCATCCACCCCTACTTCTAAGGGGAAACATTAGCTTCAGGGACTGGTGAAGCTTCAGGGATTTTCACTTATTGCTGTCTGTTGGAGCTGCCCGTGCCATGTATTGATATCAGTCCAGATGTTCCTCTTATTCAGCACTGTGTCTGTGACCCCAGGCACAGCTTGCTTTGATACCTTGATGAGGAGCAGTAAGCACCGTGGCATACATGACAAATAGTGAGTGGTTTTTCAGCCATGTCATCTGAATTTCCTCTGGGTGGATCCCAGCAGTGGGAATTATAAATACTGGTGGCTGCTTGGTGCGGGCAGTCCTGCAGTTGTTAGGGCTGGCAAATGACTTACCTCCTGTGCATTGGATTTCTGTCTTAAAAAACAATCTGACCCCGCTTGACAGGAGAGCTGAGGGCTGCTATGTGTCCTGGATGTTAACCACCCTCTGTGTTAGGATTATAGTTGGGAAAACTTCAAAATGTCTCCTTCCAAAAATGATTTAGAGAGTAAGCCGGCCTATTTTCCATGCTTTCTATTGATGTGAGTTAGTGAATGCCAGGGTTTGAAGAGCATCTCTCTGCACATCCAGTTTTTCAGGTCTCATTCTGAATGTAGCCTTGGATTTTATTGCTCTTTTAGCTTCTGATCCTTTTTTCATTTAAAAACACTGGTTAGGATATAACACCACAAGGACCTGCCACTACATTTTTACCTGGAAGTTAATGCCCGTATTCACCTGTTCATGTTGTCCAGTTTCTTACAGTTCTCCTCTGTTTCACTAAGCCAAATTTACCACTGAAAAGGAGATTGCCGACAACAGCATTGCAGGTCTGGGGCTCCCACTGGCGCCTGAAGGCAGTGAGAAGTTGTGCAGCAAGGCTCCAACAAGTCCTTGGGATGCAGCTTTGAGCATTGCACATGTTTCTTCTGAAAGGCCATTTAGCAGGATAAATATACCCAAGCTCCCCATTCCTTTGCAGTTACTCACAATGTAAATCTGTCTTGCCAGGGGTTGGGTTACTGCCCTGAGCTGTCTCCCTGTATGTGAGCTGGCTTTGCTGGAGCTGAGCAAGGGAAGACTCACTTGAACCTAAGGAGGTTTTTCATGTTTGGATTCCAGGATTTTGCAAAGAGGCTGCTCAGATGAATGTGGGAGCTCAGGATTTGGTTCTGCATGTGCAGTTCCCCTCGTTCTCTTTAAGGCAACAGCAGAAATCTAGGACCTGAATTCAGCATCTTAAGCTATTGAGAAAAAGTGTCTAGAGAATGGTTTGTCATTCTGCATATGGGGATCTGCAGTTGGTCTTACGCTGAGGGACACAACTACGACACGTAGTCCATGTCCTCATTTACACCAGTAATTGCAGCTGTTTTGCTTTCTATTTCAATAAGTCAGTGGCAAATCTAGTGCTGCCTAACCTCGGGGAACGTGGCGTGATTCTGGCTGTGTGGGGAGGAATGGCAGAGCTGCAGCCACCTGCACTGCACTGCGCTGGGTGAAGCGTTGCAGCGCGTGCTGGTGCATCTCACCCTCACGTCCTGGTGTGCTGTGCCTGGGCTGTCAGGGACACGTGGCAGGGTGATGCTGGGAGGTGGGACTATGCCTGAACGCTGCAGCACGGGCTCCATGTGGTGGCCGGGTGAAGAATCCCATCTCTAGCATGGCTTGCTTTCCAGATGTCTCGTTTGAAGCAGAGCTGCAGGCGGTGTGTGGTTTGATGGATGTGTATAAGTGGCTTTCAGCTGCTCATATGTGGAGCACTGGAAGCATCTTGCCTCAGCCGTGTGTCTGTTTCCTTCCCAGCAGGTAGGAAGAAGAAGAAAGTGTGACCACCATCTTTTTGATGTGCTTGCTGCACTGGTGATGCTCCAGTGTGCAGTGCCAGCACGGCTTAATGGCTCATCTTCAGCCATGAACTCCATGTGGAATGCCCAGGTGGTTTTCTCTCTTGTGGCACTAATGCTGGCATCTTTGTGCTGAGGTTGTTTCCAGCCCTCTGAGCCTGGAGTCATGCTGGACACTCAGTATGGAAGGCTTCTCTTTAATCAGCAAAAGCAAATTTACCTGTTGCTGGTGGGCAGACGGGAATTTGTCAGTGCCTTGTTTTGCACTGGTCTGTGATGTGTTCTGCACCGCTGAACAGGAGGCACACCTCAGTCTGGGAGCATTTCTGATGTGCATGGAAGGCACAGGGGGGGAGTGCCCCAACAGCATGCTTTGCACACAGGAAGATGTATGTCAGTATCTTTTCTAACTACCTTACCATCTATTAAGCAGGGCTGAGTGCAGCTCAGATTTATAGAGAAGGGAGTTGCTGTGGTCATCAGTACAAAGGGTCCCCTGTTAGCCATCGGTTCGAGGCTGTGCTGTGACCCCAGGTGGGCATTACTGCTCTTTATCAGATGAAACCGAGGAATGTACCCTGAGGCTGCACATGGTTCAGAGCATTCAGAGGACAGCAGGTGCTGGCACGCAGGGATGGTGCAGGATCCTGTGCTGGGAATGCATGAGGTGTGCACAGGGCCATGCAGGAGATAAGTGCTCTTCTCAGTGCAACTGGAACTGATGGGTGGGACTTCCCCTAAGGTACTGCTGTGCTCTTTCGTCTTGCTAGTCGTCTTGGTGTGAGGGTTTTCTGTGGAGAGTTCAGTGCACTGGACATCAGTTACCTTTTCCTCCATCCTCTAACATTGCAGAGCGTGTTGTGCTGCAATTTCAGTCCCAGGCTGAGAGATGGGCAGGGCTTTGATGAGGCTGGCAGCAGTGCAGTCGGTGTTAGGTGCCACTCATCCATACCTAATGCATCTGCAGTGTGGGATTGGAAGGCCAGGATCCCAAGAACCCTGTAGATAATAATGGCTTTTCTTGCACAAGGGAGAATCAAACGTGCTCAGACCTCTAGATGTCTCAGAGTGCTGTTTAGTAGTAAATTATCAATCATGATATCACTCTTTAACTGTCCCACCTCCCCAGGAAACAGCATCGAAATGTCACTTGAAGGTGAACACAGCTGTCTTCCCACAGCAGGCAGGATGTGGGCTGGGCAACCCTCTGGTGGAGTGTGATTTCCCTTGTGTGTGCAAGCTTTGGGTCCTGCGGTGGAGGGAAGAAAACTCTTCTTCTGTGCCTCTCCCACACCTGTAGGGTGCTGTGCTGAGCAGTGCCAAGACGTGTTGTGCCCTGAGGTGTGCTGTGTGCACAGAATCATAGAATGGCCAGGGTTGGAACAGTCATGAATTTCCAACCCCCCTGCTGCAGGCAGGGCCACCAACCTCCCCATTTAATACCAGACCAGGCTGCCCAGGGCTCCATCCAATCTGGCCTTGGACACCTCCAGGGATGCAGCACACGGTGAGCTGAGGCTTTGTGACTGCAGTGATGCAGCAGTAGCTCTGTTGGTATCGTGTCCCTTGCTCTTCCACACCCCCTCCTTAATGCAGAAGTGCTGACAGAAGGCTTCAGTGTGCCGAAAGCAGGAGGAGGCTGTAGGTGACCGGGTGAGGTGCATCAGTGCCAACCCAGCCGCTGCCACCCGGGGTTCCTGCTCCATCCTTACAGGCTGTGGTGGTGCCCTCTGACGGCTGCACTGCTCCGTTCTGGTGTGCCCTATGGGCTGTGTGGCACCGAGCGGCTGATGGCCGCCTCCTGCAGCCCTGTGCCATAGAGTCGCCTTGGGAAGGAGCACTTCATTAGCTGAGAAATCAATAGAGCCTTTAATATTTCTGTTTAAGAATTGAATATTTCTATTTGTGGAGCAGTCGCTGCAGTGACAGCGCTGCACAAGGCACAGCACCTTTGTTACAGTCATCCAAGTTAGGGCTGTCTGGTCCCTGAGATCCCTTTTGTGAGAGAAAGGTAGGGAGCAATGGCTCTTTTTTTTTCCATCAGTAGAACTCCCTTCTTAGCTCCTTCCCTTGCCTCATGTTGTGTTCTGATAATTGGAACTGGTCCAGGAAAGGACACGTGTGGCTGGAAAGAGAAATGGGGACGGCTGTGGGTGGAGAAGAGCTTCCCTCCATCGTGGCAGCGAGCTCAGGGAGGAGCAACCCGGCTCTGGGCACGTCAGACAGGCACAGGGAGAGGGGCCTTGCAGAACACGGGGGGAGCAAAGAGAGTGAGGGATCCTGTGCCACAGGGGAAGCGAGGTGTGCATGCATTCCTGAAGCTGCTGTGGCATCAGTTGGGAAGTTGAGAGCAGTTGCAGTAACCCTCCAACGGCGCGATTCCTCTCCAGCCTTTTCTCCTCCCTCTGCTTCCTGTTCCTCAGTTCTGCCTTGTTTGCTCAAGTTGGGAAGGGGGAGGGAATGGGGGAAGTTAATCATTAAACTGCAATGTCTCCTTAACTCCTTCGCAGCCTGAGAGCAGAGTGCTCCTGGCACTGCCAGACCCCTCGCCTGCAGACTTGCTGGAATAAACCACTCCATTTAGCTGAGCTCCCTTCATTGCTATTGGTAAAAAAAGAGCTGTGTTTCTGCCCAAGGAACCGTTCAGCAGAGGGTGCTGAGCTGAGGAGGCAAACTGTGTGGTGAGATGGTTACATCTTCTGTCCTGCAGGCAGGGCTGGGGGAGGAAATACGACTTGGGTCCCCATACGGGGCTGGATGAGCCATACAACCTCATGAGATTTTTACTTCCTGGTAGAGTTTGATTTGCTTTTGTCATTGGTGGGGAAAAGCAAAAGCCACACCTTCTTGGGTAGCACTTCTGTTGGAGGTTGTGTGCACAAAACCTCCAGCCACAGGAGCAGGCTGAAAAAACTGCAGCTCTTCAGCGTTCTCCTGAGGTATGTCTGTGCCTTTCACTGTGGAATCCACCAGCTGCTCTTTTGCTTAAAAAGAAGATCAAACTCATTCTTACCCAGCTGCAGCAAGCTGTATCCCTTAGGAGAATCTGCTCCTGGGCTATTTTGGTCCCTCTGGGAGGACGCCTTTGGTTGAAATGATTTTGGAGCATCTTTCTGGCTAAATGAAAGGTGTGTGGAGTTAAATTAACTCAGTATTTAATTTGCTAATAGCGAATTTGTTATCTGTGGGCAGAGCTCCTCTTTTTTTTTTTTTTTTTCTTTTACGATGCTTTGCTTTGTGGAAGAGTTGAATATAAAAGCAGTACCTTCCTGTCTTGTAATGCGATGATGCTGTCCTCCATTTGACCCTTTAATATATTTTTTGGAGGCTTGCTAAGTGCCTTGGCTGCGCTGAGGAAGTGGCTTTGGGCTGGCGGGTGCCAGCCCCTGGGAGCTGGTAGGCAGCCATTAGGGTGAGCTGGTTTAGCTCCTGTTCTGCTGCCTCCTGGTCACTTCAGCTCCCTGCCACCCTGCCTGCAGGAGGCTGTGGGTCCCTCCGCCTGGGCTCAGTCCTCAGCCCCACAATCTGGGAGTTGAGTTCCCTGTTGTGCGTGGGGGAAGGGCAGCTCCTGCACACCGAGACTGCTGTGACAGCTGGGGCTGTGCTCGGGACAGGGGCATTCCCAGGGCCTCTCCTCCAGGTTTGCTCAAATCGTGTCGCTGGTGTCTGGCTGAACTGCGCATCACCACAGGGTCCTACCAGGTATGTGATGCTCTTGTCATGGAGAGCGCTGCCGTCCCCAGCAGCCCGGCTCCTCTCTAATGGCCTTAAAGAGTGTGTGCTCGAGCTCACTGGAGAGCTGGGCAGGCGGCCAGCAAGGCTTTCTGTTGGAGCGTGTGCAGTGCAGACCTGCAGTTGTTCGCAGGAGTTTCCCCCACCCTGGTCTGCAGTCGGCTCAGCGGGGTGGAATCGCAGGACAGAAAACCCAGCAGGTTGGGATTTGCCTGTGAGTCACAGCAGAGCAGTGCAGGGCTTGGAATGGGCGGAGAGTAGTTTGCAGGAGGAAATCCAGGAAGGCGAAAGGTGGGTTTTCTCCTCCTGCTATTGAGGGTGTGTATTTTTTCCTGCTTTAAGATTTGAGAGGTGCTAACCTTATGGCACGGGCTCCTCTGCCTGGCACCAGTGCCAGTGTTTCTAGCGAGTGGGAGTTTTTTCTTCTCTTCAGGAATCTGAGCAGGCTCCACCCAGCAAGCTAATTATTTCCAGGAGAAGAAATTGCATTTACCTGGCAGGCTCTGGAAGCTCATTAACTGTGATATGTGCAGAGTATTCTTCTTAGGAAAGCTGAAGCACATCTTCCTTCTGCCGCGGTGATAGACTCATTTGAAAGCTGCATGCTTCTTGCAGTGCCTTCAGCTCTGGAGAAAACCCCTCCCGAGATCTTGTTTCCTGCAAAAAGCAGCGCCTGCGGCCACGTTAAATGACTCCATGATGATGTGGGGCCTGTAATTAGCCTGTGTCAATATCCTGTTGCAAGTCCATCTCTAGGCAGGTTTCTCCTAGGCTGCTCTTCTGCAAAGCGTACGCTGTGCGACTGCAGGTTGCAGTTATTGCATGGTTTTCCATTTAAGACAAATTTCTGAGGCTGACACAGTTTTTCTGACTGCTCTGATACCTTTCTTTGTAATGGAAATCCGAGGTGCAGCAGCAACTCACAGCACATTTGGTAGATGACCTTAAATGAAAACTTCCTGAAGACTTTCTGATGTGGATATTGTGAACGAGGCAAAAGAATCTGTTATCTGGGATTTCACAATACTGTGTGTTTTAATTTTCATTCCTGCAGACGCCTTACTGGCAGACCTGGAATCCACCACCTCGCATATCTCTAAGCGACCAGTGTTTCTAACAGAGGAAACGCCTTACTCCTACCCAACTGGAAACCACACGTACCAGGAGATTGCTGTGCCACCACCGGTGCCTCCGCCGCCTTCCAGTGAGGCCCTAAATGGCACTGTGATTGACCCCTTGGACCAGTGGCAGCCCAGCGTATCCAGATACGCCCACCAGCAAGTAAGCACGTGCTGATGGAGGTGGGGAGAGTGTGTGCGTGGTTTGCTGGGGCTAGATGAGGGGAGGAAACAGCAAGGAGGGAGGATGACATTGGCTAAAGACTGGGGAAATGAGGGGAGGTCAGGTCAAATAGCAGAAAAGACCTCAAAACCCATCGGTGGTGCTCCAGCAAAGTGGTAGTGTGATGGGATTAGGGTTAGTCATCAGTCCTGTAGCCTGTAGGAAGCAAGCTGGGGCTTTCCAGCTCAGGTCTGCGACTCATAGGCAAATCTGAGGCAAGTGGAAAACAGTTGTTCCTGGTGTAGGTCATCTGATGGGGGCTGGGTGGGCTATGTAACAGGTTTTTGCTGCTGTACTTTCTCCTGCAGCATGTAGGGTTGCAATACAGTGTGTATATTCTTGTTGTGTTCCCTGTTTCCAGTGCAAATTTTATTTCCACAGCCTCAGTCCCAGTCTCCGATATACAGCTCTAGTGCCAAAAGCTCCAGTGCCTCTGCTCCTAGAGACGGGCTCAGCTCCCCTTCTCCCCGTGCCAGTGAGGAGGAACACGTCTACAGGTACCTTGTCCTTGCTAAGGGAGAAGCCTGGCTTGTGGGTTGAGCCTGCTGTGGCTCAGGATGCCTTCTGAAACTGGAAACAAACGCTGCACTTCCTGTATATTTTCTGTTGCCCTGTGTTGGTTTCTGTTACCTCATTTGTAAGAGGCTACTGCATTATCTTTTACATTCACTTAAAGGGTTGACCTGGGCCTTCAGTTTGCTCAGCTGTGGAAGAAGTTTGAGGATCCATCAGGATCTGGGTTGTGTTGAGGGATACAATCCAGAGACCAGTGACAAATCCGTCCCCCTCTTAAGCAACCCCACATGCTTTAGGAAGTGGGTGGTCTTTGACTCAGTCGTCTCAAGGAATGCAGTACCCATCACCTAGCGGGATGTGCCATTATTTGGATTTTCAAGTACATTTAAATTTCTTCATGAAGGCTTTAAAACTTCTGTCAGTATTTCTGATGTTACCAGTTACTAATTATATTATACTAATGGACAGCTGTTATTGCACTGAGAGGTTGCAGGGATGGCCTGTGTGGTGAGACAGACCTTCCTGCTGACATGAGGGTGAGAGAGGAAGAAGCTGCCATAGCTCCATCTCTGATGGCCCTGTGTGATGCACTCTGTCCCGGGTACCTTTTATAGGTGTGGGGATGAGTGTTGCTCTCCTGTCAATGTTCTAACTATGCCTAGGTCTTCATACTGAGCTGAAGGCTGCTTGCAACCAGAACTACTACAGGGTAGAACCAGAAGTATCCAGGGATGGCTCAATGGAGGCAGTAATTGCAATTTTTCAGAGGGCTGCATGCAATTAGTACAAAATCAAGATAATTAGGGCCCTGAATCCTCCTGTAAAAGAGTCTGGCATGGTCTGGTTCTTGTGCGAATTGAAGCTTGTGTGCTTAGGCCAGGATGAAGTATGCCCTTCTCAGATTGTGTTTGTGGACTTTGTTTTCAATCTGAAGAGAAAGATAATAACTGCCTTTATGAAGTTCCATAATTGTCACTGGTGCTATAGGTATGACAGTGCTCAACCTGTTATGTATTAACTTTCTGAGCAGAAAACTGATGTGTGCCCAAGACAAATTCCCATTTTGGATTTAGGAATAAGAATTTCTAAAGCATTAAAAGTTATTTGTCCGCTGATAAAACTAGGAGAAAATTATTTCCCTGCTATTGACAGTGGGTCGATTGTTCTTAGTGTAGTTACTGTGCAGACCATTGCACTGGTACTGTTTTGCTTTTAAACACTTTGCAGTTGAGCATGGCTAAATGGGATCTCCCTTATAGCATAGGCTGTAACTACAGGCAGTGTGTTCTATCTATCTATCTATCTATCTATCTATCTATATATACTCGTGTGTAGGGAAGCCTCTCTAAAGGCTTCTGTGTTGAACGCCGTGGAAAATCTGTCAGATTACTTTCTTATAAATTGATTAAAATTCATCAAAGTGAAGATTTGAGGACTTCAAAAGAGACCTCATGGCAGCCTTTTGTGGGACACACAATCTGCTGCTTTTGTAGCTTTGGTAGCTTGACTTTTGTACTTCTTGTCTATTCTGCGCTGGCCCTGCATCCCCTTCCTTCAGAGGAGAGGTTTTTGCTGCTGGTGTGCTGTCAGCAGAAACAGGCCCTTTTCCTGTATGCCAGCTAATGGTTCTGCTGCTGTTCTGTGCATCTTGGATCTGTAGGCAGTTAACTCTTTGCTGTAGGACAGTGCAGCACAGAGTCCTGAGATCTGAGCCCCTTTCTTTCAGTGCTGTTTCTTTGTAACTGACAAGTGAAGATGTGGCTAAACAGCAGCTGTGGGGATAGTCATCTCACAAAGCACACAGCTTTGCCCACAGAGCTAAAAACCTCAGCCTGAAAATAACACAGTACCTGTGTGAACTCTGTGAACTTAATATCTAAGTTTCCCTCCATTGTTCTGCTGTGTCTTAAAGCAGAAGTTTTACACTTCCCTTTTATCTCTAGCTTCCCAAACAAGCAGAAGTCTGCAGAACCATCTCCCACCATGACCAGCACCTCTCTGGGCAGCAACCTCTCGGAACTAGACAGGCTTCTCCTGGAACTGAATGCTGTTCAACATAATCCCTCCAGTGGCTTCCCAGCAGGTAAGGACTAGCAAGACATTTGGTGTTAGTGAATAGCTTACTTCCCAGAGTAGCAGCCTGCTTCTTCCTTCTGACATCCTTGCTGAGGAAGATGACTCCAGCCCTGAACAAAGATTCCTTTAGTATGAATAGGATCTCTTGAGGTTCAGCAGTGCTGGGCCAACTTTGGAAATGACTCTAACTTCACAATTTCAAAGTTAGAGCACATGTTGCTTGTGCTCTAAGTTCTAAATATTCTGAAAGATGGAGATTCCACAGGGTTTCTGGGCAGCATGTTGCTCTTTTCTCTTGTTTGCATATGTACATGTGTCTGAACAACTCTGCTCCTCTGTTCTAAAGATGAAGTCAGCAGAAGCCCATCACTGCCCAACGTGACCGGACCTCACTATGTCGTCCCAGAGAGCAGCAGCTCTGCAGGGGGGAAGGCTGCACCCCCTACAAAAGAAAAACCAAAGCGAAATGGTGGGCGTGGGATCGAAGATGTGCGTCCCAGTGTGGAGAGCCTGCTGGATGAGTTGGAGAGCTCTGTGCCAAGCCCAGTGTAAGTAGTGCTTTGGTGGATGCAGTGGGTTGGGCGGGCTGTTATGGGAATAGGGAGTGCAGTGGAGGGGCAGATGTTGTGGGACAGTGACAGACAGATGTCCCTTGGCTGTAGAGTGGGAAGTCAAGCAGGCACTTGAAGATGCTCCTGCTCTTCTATCTGCTGCAGCTCTTCCTGGATGAAGGAATGCTTGAGTTGTGGCACATTTTTTTTAAACTTGGATTTATAGCAGTCTGTCCAGATGAGTGTTTGGTCATGATCCGTTCAGTAATGGGTGGATGTATGTGCATGTACACTCATGTTAGACTTGGCAGAGAGACAGGACCTGTGTGTGTTGCAGAAGCTGGATCAGTGGGAGGGCTGGCTAGGGAGAGCAGTGCCGATGACACTTGCCACGCTTGCTTGTTTAGAGGAGCCAGTGAGGCTTTCAGTTAGGAGCTCTCCCGCAGGCCTAGATGCACTCTTTAAAAATAAATATATTTTATTTTCATCAGCCCTGCAATCACTGTGAGCCAAGGGGAGGTGAGCAGCCCCCAGCGTGTCACCGCCAGTCAGCAGCAGACCCGTATCTCTGCTTCTTCAGCCACACGAGAACTGGATGAGCTGATGGCGTCCCTCTCTGACTTTAAGGTGCTTTATCTTGACAGCTCGCACCTCATCTCATCCCTTCCCACGCCCAGGCTCTTGCATGTTGGCCACATCTGCTGACCTTAACTGATTTCCTGAATGCCTGCTTTACCTCTCGTCTTGTGGAACTTCCTTTGGTGGTGTTTGTGCTGCTATAGGTTCTTGACTGCAATAGTTTCCTGTCGCTGGTGTGGACAAGGGAATTCTGGGGTCTGTTTTTCCATCCATTCTGCAGTTTGTCTGCATTTGGCAAAGATAACGAGCTTAGTTGCTGCTCGGTGCAGGGTGAATTATTTTGCTATGCTGCAACTGAATGAGAAGTAGGGAAGCTTGAGCCAGCACCGCTCTGCTCCATGACAGGGGCCAGGCTCTTCTGTTCCATGGGCTGACCCTCTGCAGCAGTGTGCTTATACTTTGTGCTTTCCTGAGGAGGGTATTTGGGGCTTAAAGGCATGTGGTATGAGCATTGAAACCTTTGCATCAAGCAGCTGAAAACTTCAAGGGTTTCAATTTTAAAACAGTATCAATTATTCAGCTCCAAATAGGATTAAAGACTGAGCTTGTGTGGGTGAAGGATGGCAAACACTATTCAGGATCTTGTTTGCAAATCAGTGTACTGTGTTGGAAAAGGACTGCTACTTCAGTCACAAGTGACACACGAAAAAATTCCCCTGATAGAAGAAGTGGAGGAATAACTTGCCACTGGAGCATCAAGCACTTGCTCTGTGTACTTAGAGAACTTACAAATGCATGCATTTCTATTCAATTAGGTATACTATCCTTTTTACACTAGGTGGTTAACTGTGGAGTTTATTTTCATGGTTCATCTACCCACAGTCATAGCAAAATAATTTTGCTCTCTCTACTTGTTTGCTTATAGCATTGCTGAATTATTCCCTTGAATTTGTTCTGAGAGGTGGAGAAGCGAATACCTAATATGTTGTCATTGTTGGGTGTGCCTTTCTTACATACACGTGCAAGTCTGCTTTGTAATCCTACAAAAGTTCCAAACTCTCTTACGTTTTCCTCTCCATGGAAGAATCTGCCAGTGCTTGGTTATGTTTCTTGGCTGTGTTAACTTCCATCCCCTACCATGAGTTTGGTCCCGAGGCAGTCAGAGCTGAGCAATGTTTTCTGAGAAGATGTAGGCAGCTGAGAAGCCTGCATGCTCCTCGGGACTTTGCTTGCCCTGTACTTATTGGCTTCCATTCAAGTCTGCAGTCTGTGACTCACGTACTTGACTTTGGGAGACTCAAGGAGCAACTCGCTGTTTTCTCTGGACTTAATTTAGTACGTATTTAGTCACTGCAAATAGTGATGCCTTACTGGTCCTTTTCTTTTTCCATATTAGGTCCTAGGGCAGAGAGCAGGCTATCAGCGAGTATCTGTTCCATGCAGTTGAAAAATTGTGCTGTTGTGAAGCTGGAGAGTTCCCACCTGTGCTGCTGGCAGCACACCCTGCCTCGCTGCTTCTGCGTGCTGTCAGTGCCAGGGCCTCCTGCTGCTTTATCAGGGCTCAGAAAGCAAGCTCAAGGTGTGGTTGCTGCCACCAGCCTTTGCTCCTGGTGAGCTTTGGCAGCAGGGGACATCCTTGCCCAGAACAGGCCTTTTTGTTTTGTGCAACTCCAATAAAACTGCATGAACGAGGCTAGATGCTTTCTGTAACACTGCCCTCCTTCCTGGCTTCTTTTCTGCTTGGACTCTAAAAGCAACCTGAAACGCATTGAGATCTCAAGATTTATAAATGCAGTGTTAGGGTTTTTGAAAGGCATTGAGCTCAGGATCGTTGTCTGTCTAAATGTTTTTCCTTACAGAACCAGCAACATGATTTCTGTAATAGTTTCTCTTTTATTATTATTGTCATTGGCTGCTTTTGGACAGCTGCTTTACTATATCCTGTTTTTCTTTTTCCTTTCAGTCCTTTTTCTTTGTTTTTACCTCCCCTACTTGTGCCAATGGGTGGTGCTGATTTCTCTGTAAAGATGATCTAGTCTGTACCAGTGACAGGGTGTAAGGGGGAGAAGTGGGGTCTTTCCCAATGGTGAAAAAGAAAAGGCTGTCATTCATGTGCCAGACCTGTGTGTGGTTGCAAGAAAAAGGACAGAGGAACGAAGTGCAGTATGTAATGAGCTGGAGATGGTGGCTGCTGCAGGCCCCAGTGGATGGCAGTGGGAGAGGTGGCAGCACCAGTGTTTAACTTCTGTCATAGCCCAGAGTAACAGATGCTGTTACAGACTGATACATTACCCTTTTATCTTTTGCTCACTTTAATGAGTTGCTCATTCTTTTTGCTTACAGAATCCATTTGATTTTGGTTATCTAGCTCATCAGCACTGAGGTTACTTAATGCACTTGGTTCTTTTGCCTCTGACATTTCTGTGTAATGTGACTCCAGCTGACTGCACATTGTGCTGCTCGTGTTTAACTGTTATGTTACTGTTATGTATTTAGCACTTGCTCTTAATTTGGAGTTAGTATGCTTTCAGTATGCTGGAAATATTTGCTTCTGAGCAAAATGCCAGCCCTGCCTTGCCAACAGCTGACTGTTTTAGAAAGTCTGGAAACTGAGTAAGTGAACTATAGTGTAACACCCATTTGTACAGGTACATCCACGTTAGGCAAAATACAGGGAGGAGGGCAATATGAGGAAATTCCCTTGTTATTGTAACTAATTAATGTACTTGCTGGTTCTTTTCATCTTGATTTCCTCCTGGAAATGAGGAGCAACCTGTGATTAATTGCAGTCCCCCTATTGCTTTCTAAGATGCCCCTCCATGGCACTACTTGGGGACTTCACCAGTGTGTGTGCTTGCTGGCTCCTGACTCCTTGGCCTGGGAGCTGCTTACGTCACCTGCAGGTCTCTTCCAGCTATTGGCAGATCATGTTTGTGTTCTGGTTAATTTTTTCCTTTTATTCATGACAAGTCCCCATACAGATAAGTAAAGACTGAGCTGTTGCTACATTAGGATGTGAGGGTCTAACTTCTTAAAGCTTTTTCAAAAAACACAGTGAAGAATCAGAGCGTATCTTGATATCTGTTGGATTTGGAGAACTTTGGATAGGTTTTTTAAAATGTCAGGGCTCTGCATTGGCCTTAGGTTGACCTACTGTGTGAACTTGGCTACGGCAATGTTCTGATTTTTCTCTCTTTGAGAAAAAGGTGCAGTGCCAGTTTGTCTCCTAAGGCTCAGCCAGGAGCCACTGAAAACAGGAAAAGGAGGATCCATGATTCTTATTTTATTTTAAAAACCCTCTGAGCCAAGGAGAGCAAAAAAATTTGTATCAGTCACTCTTGTTAGGGTGTATTTTGGATTAAAATGAATACTGATCTTGTTACAATTGAAATGTGGAGATTGTGACCTAAGGAGAAGAGGTTCATCTGGCAATCTAAGCAAAGTTTAGAAGGGCATGGAATGACTGGCAAAGCTGTTGTGATTCACTGTGTATCACCTCCAAGGTGAGATTGATTCAGTGAGTAGAGCAAAGCCCGTGTCATCTGCTTTTGCTGTGCATGCCCTGAGGCTTTGTTTTCACTGCTGTGAACTCGGGCAACTGGAGCAGTTTTAGTGCATGGAGAAGAAAACGTCATGGTTTGTTCTATTCATCGATTGCTGTTTTTTCTTCAGCTTTGAAATATAGAATGTACGTAGCTGAGCATGAGTGAGTTGCTAATGTGACCTTCACCCGCAGTGCAGACATTCCTGGGCTTATAGCTGGCTTCCTGGCAGCTGCTGCGTGCCCCCATCGCACTGCAGGTGAACACATGAGGTGTTACGTAAGAGGGTGGCAGAGAAAAACGATCTTGATGGCTGTTCAGCTTCATATCCTGTGATCTCATGCAAAGATCAGCACAATGTCACATTGATTCTCCTCTTTGCTGCCCTGTTCTCATTCCTGTTTCTCTGATGTAAGGCTCAGGATCAACATGGCTCCTGATTGGGAGATCACAATTGTTATAACGCTTTATACCATGCTTCTTTTTTCTGCCCTCTGTTTCTTATTTCTTATCTTTCTTTTTTTTCTCCTTCTTTCTTCTCTCTCCTTTTTGCAGACTATGTCTCTGATTCCTGAACCCTCCCTAGAACCGGTTCGCGATTCAGCAGATGCAGACTCCAGCAGCATTTCTCCCAGTTTAACCATGCTATCCCCTTCCAAATGCCCTTCTGTCAGGCACAGTGGGGTTGTGGCAGTGCCAGCAGGTTCCCCCTCAGCAGTTCTCTGTGCTGAGGAAGGCATTAGCACTGTAGTGTGGCCTGCTTCGGGGCACTGTGCCACTCTTCCACGCGTACCCTCTTTGCCACAAATGGTCCCTGTGCCCCCTCCACGCGTCTCTTCTGTTTCTGCTACTCGTGGGGAGCAGATGGCCTCTGCAAGTTTGGTGAGGCTGGCTGGAAAGCCTGACTCTTCCAGGAAGACTTCCCAGGCTGTGCCCAGGGCTGAGCTGCTGTGTAGATCTGCTAAGGTGGAGGCACAGGGCCTGGAGCTGGCAAAAGAGAGTGAGAAAAAGGAGCAGAGAAGTGACCCCAAACTCTCAAGCGTCTCAGTTTCAAACACTTGTATAAGTGATCAAGGGAAGGAGCAGGCAGCTGAAGAATTGGATCAGCAGGGAGTGTCCAGGGATAATTCAGCCCTTCCTTCTCAGGGCAGAAGTGTGAAAGCAGCTTTAGATGAGCTGTGGGCCCTGGAGCACGTACCAGAAGTACACAGAAAGGGTGACAGCATTTTGAGTCCTGTGTGTGACCCTTCTGTTGTGGACCTGGATCAGTGGGCTGTCTTTCCGGACACTGAAAAACAGTTGGGCTTTGCTGTGGAGCGAGGACAGGAGCAAAAGGCTGAAGTATCACCTGAAATCCAAGTAGGTGGCTGTCCTGAGCTGGTCAAGAAGAGGCAGGGCAGGGGGAGAACTCCCAGAAAGGCAGGTACTGCTAACATGAACAAAGCTGGAGAAGATGGAGAAAATGAGCAGATCAGAAGCTCTGCAGTTGCTCCAGAATCTCCTGAAAACACCTGGAAAGCTGAATGGGATTTGCCGTGCCTCTCCAAACCACCCATTGAAAGGATTTCTGCATCAGGCCAGGCAGGCACTGAACAAATGTGGGAGGAGGATGAGTCCTAGCTGGGGCTGTCCTGACTGCACTAACGTTTTGTGTGCGGTGTGAGTGTGCCTGGGCCCACCCACACTAACAGCATGTGGTGCTGAGCAGCGCTGCTGACAGCTGCATGTCATGCAGGCTTTAAGTCCTCTGCTTTGTCCTCTGGTCTGTTCTGCAGGTCAGTCAGCAGCACAGAACATGGCAGAGTGTAGGGACTGCCCAGTGAAATGGGTTTTTATTCCTTAAATGGAATAAGGCAGATGCTCAGTCCATAAAGGCCTCTGAAAAGTTAAAGGGCTGATTCACTCCTCTGGAGGATGTCCCTCTGCCTTTTTAGGTCTTGTTGTTGGACCTGTTAGTGTTCCTTCCAGCTCTGGATGTATGCTTTGTGCACCAGACCGCGAGTCTTGTGCTTGTAAAGGGCGCACACTGAAAGTCTGCTGTGTTTCTTTGTGATGCTCAAGTTTCTTTAATGCTCAGTGGAATGGTTGTGCTGCACCTCGTATCTTGGCTTTCTGCTGGGTGATCTTTCCCTTCCTTTTCTAGATAGTTATTTTTGGCTACAGTGGTTGTCCTTACAGACTTTTTCCTTGCACTGAGTCACTGTTCTGGACTGTGCCAAGAAGAATTTTGGCATTGTGGAATTAATGTCATCACTCTCCCTGCATACATTTGTCACTAATGGCTTGAGTTTGTGCTGTTGCATCTTGAGGCTTGCTCTTACTCTTTTCTCTGCTGACACTATTGCCTTTTTCATCTAGATTAAGTCTTTAATCAAGAGGACAAAAGAAACCTCCAATGTGCATCCAATGAGTCGTGACCTCTCTCCAAGGCGTAAATTAGGTCCTGCAATATTTCACAAGACCGAGTCCCAAGATCGCTTGATTGAAGAGCTGCAGGACAGACTGGGAGTTGCTAAACAGGAAAAAGAGGAGCAGAAAAGCCAGAATGGCTGGCTGACAGAGGGGGTCATTATCACTGCCCGACCCCAGGGGGAAGAGCAAAATGGTGGACAGCAAATAGAGAAGGTAGAAAGTGAGGGGAACTTCCACTTCTGGGAAATTGGAGCATGTTCCTGTCTAGGCAGCATTTTGTGGAGGTGTATGTTAGGTGACACCTTAAACAACATGAAGTAAAGAACTAACTCCTTCTTCTCAGCCTCTTCTGACCTGAAAAGTAAACTGGCTCTCAGTTCCTAGTTCATGTTTAAGAATTGGATATCTAAGGGTGCTGGTAATGGTATCTGTTTAGGCAGTCTGCTGCTATTGCATATCAAATACCCGTGTGGGTATTGTTTGAAAACTCTTCTGGGAGGCTTGTCAGAGAGGGATGCCTTGTCTTTCCCAGTACATGCCTGTGCAGGAAGTTCTGGGTGTAAGATGGTGCTCTTAGAGCTACACAGAGAAGGAAGCTTTCTGGTCCCCTTCTCTGTTTTCCCTGTCCCTTGGTTCTTTGCTGTTTTTTTCCCCTTAGATAAAGATGGTAACCAGAGGCCTCTGTCCTTACTTGCTTTGCTGGGCTGTGTGGCAGTGAGGTTAATGTTCCAGTTGTGCTCTGATGTAAACCAGGGAGGTTCAGAAGAGCAGGAGGGAGAGCACGAGGCAGCAAAGATCGTTACTCACTGGTCTGTGCTTCCAGCCTTCCTGTTGCAGGAGGTGCTTGTTGGTTCCTCTTTGGGTTTACTCACTTTTCTTCCCTGTCTCTCTAGGTGGTATTCCCTCCAGAATCCCCACACCCTCGAAGGAGGACAGTCTCTGTTTCAGCCTCTCCCCCGCTCCAGCCTTCCAATGAAGCTGTGAAGACAGTCCCTGCTAATGCTTCTCCCTCTCACGTACCTGTCCTCCCACTGCCAGCTCAGCCCTCCCATGCACTAGCTACCTCAGCTCCATGTCCAGCCTCCTCCTATTCCTCCCGCTTGGCTCCCCAGCCACTTTTCCAGTGGGAAGCTTCTGGTGCTGATTATCACGAGCTCTCTGTTGTGGGCACCCCTCCTTCTGAAGATCCTGGGCACTCTTCTCCCCAGACCTGGACCCCTAGCACCAAGACAGTCGTTTCTGTTGGCTGTCAAACAGAAGATGAGGCTTTCTTCCCGCGGATGCAGGCAGGATTCTCTTTTCTGCTTTCTTTTTTATTTAATTTTAAGCACAGTGTTGTCCAGTCTTTCCACTGCTGTCAGCTTGGTAGCTCAGTAAACACGATGTTCAGGTGAAGGCTGGCTCTGAACCACTTAATGAAAGAGCAGAGTCATTAGTGGTGTCAAATCAATGCCAGCCGTGCCTGCCTGGCACTGCAGACTACATGGTTGTGCACCAGTCTGCTGAGATGTTGGTGCTTCCTGTCTGCCCTTTGTGCAGCAGGGATTGTGATTTGTTTCCCTCTGAGATGAAGGAGGTAGCTCTGAAAGTCAGGTCTCAACTCTCCCTGCCACTGCCTCTCATGAGATGGGAAGAGGGATGGAAAACTGACAGCAAAATCTCAATCCTTCCTGTGCTTACCCGTGTGATGAGGTGTCCCTGTTGCATTTGGAGGAGGAGCTGCTGCTCTGTGCCTCCTGTCAGGGAGGGGTTGCAGCCCTGGGATGCTGGGAAGGTGTAACACACGTGAGCAGCACGGTGTTTTGCCATGCTGTTTGTACAAGCAGATCTCAGCAGCTAGCCAGCTTCTGCATCCTGAACTGTTGTACTTTTCAGGTGACCTCTGCTCCTCCCCTCACCCGCAGTTCCAAGCTGCTGGCTGCCTGTGCGCCCCCAGCCCCTCCCAGCCCTGAGAAGGCAGGAGCTCCTTTGTTTCCTCTCAGCATGGTGTGCTTTTGGGGGGACGTCTGTGCTGGGAGCTGCTCCTGGAGCTTGCAGCGTGGTGATCCTAGCTGCTGTCTGGTAGTGCATGGTTTGGTGCTCGTACAGCACCCAGCTGAATCGGAGTGCTGGTAGGTCGTGTGGTGAAGGGGCAGCTTGAAGGGCCTTTGCATGATGGATTTGTGTGGATTCTGTGCTGTGTCTCCTTCAAATAGCAGGCAGTGTGTGCAGGAGGTTGGAAACAAACTTGTGAGCTGGCAGAAGGCTGAACCAAGTAGTGGTGGCGGTGTGCTCAGGTCATTGGGCCTGCACTGAGGTCATCTGCATGGCCCACACCAGCAAGGCACAGCAAGTGCTGTGTTTCTACGTGTTGAATTCTTCTCTCCTTTCTTTCCAGATGGTATTTATGATTTGTCTCTGTGTAACCTGTGCCTTGTGGCCACAAGCCCCTGCTCAGCGAGAGAGGATTTGATTCTTTTAGTTCTGTCCAACCTTTTCCTCGTGCTGTGCCTGACCTTGTCCTGGGACTCTGCCCTGGCTCTATGTACATGGGGCCCTGCTGTCCCTCTCCTGTGAGCAGTCTCCTTGCAGTGGAGTGCTTTGGAGATGTTCACTGTAACTGTTTGGTAGCAAATAACAGCTGTATGGCAGAGAATTTATTCCAGGCTCCAGACACTGGGGCTTTTCTGTGCTGCTGGGCTGGGAAATTATGTATGTCATGAGAATTTTTCTACAGACAAGTGGAAACCAAGGTTGGTCACTGAGTCAGCTGGTTGGCTGCAAGCACGACTGGCTGCAGGACAGGGAGTAGAGCTCCTCCAGTGGCTGGAAGGGCAGAATCTGCCAGGGCTCTGGAACACCTCAGGAAGTCCTGCTCCCCTGCCCATGATGGCAGCTCGTGGGTCGTTCACAAGTGTGGATTTCACATCTGTTTTTAATCTGACTCCGTGGCAGGAGAAAACACAACAGGCAGCTTGAAGGGAATTTCCTTCCTGCTTCCACTTGCTTAGCTTTGGCGTGGGATGAGAGCCACCCGATGGGGCAAAGGAGATTTGGCAAAAAAGGAAATGTCCGTAAGGAGTGCAGGTGGAGGAAAGGGAGATCTAGCTGAAAGGGAGATGGAGAGTGGAGGAGGAATCCCTTTAAGAAGGATAGAGTGGCAGTAGGAACAGAAAGAGGTCAGAGGGAAGGGGCCCTCTGGATGGCGTCTGTGCTTTGACAGCTGGCCAGGAACTGATGAGGTAAAGGGAGATTTTTGGCAGAGGCTTGCAGAGCACTGTGCTGAGTGTTTGGGAACAGCTAGTAACTTCTGCTGTGTGTACAGCAAAAGAAAGTCAAATCCTTAGTTGCCAGCTCTGCTGTTTTACATCCCATGGTCTGTGCATGTCTCTGCATGGGCAGAATGTGTGTACTTGATCCTGGCTCTCCCAGGCTTCTGCAGTGAGCGTAGCTGTCTCCTAGCAGCCTCTGGTTTGTCTCTACAGAAGTGCCACTGGCAGCAAGAGCAGAGATATTTCTGGGAAGTGCAGCAACGTTTGCTGTATAACCTTTGTTTTCTCCTCCCTGCAGTTCATGGCACAGGGGAAGGCCGGCGGCAGCAGCTCCCCACCATCCACCACCCCCAAGCTTGGCAGTCAGCTGGACACCATGCTGGGAAGCCTGCAGTCTGACCTGAACAAACTGGGGGTAGCAACAGTTGCCAAGGGTGTGTGCGGAGCCTGCAAGAAGCCGATTGCTGGGCAGGTGGGTTGAAGGTGCTGCCTGATTGCTGAGCCTTGGCCTGCAGCTGGGAGCAGTGGGGAGGGTTTCTTTCGTGAGGCTGAAGAGACTGGAGATGCTGGAGAAACTGAAGTACTCTATTTATCCACTGGCTAGGTACGCTGTAAGCTCCTCCAGTGACCTCTACTCTGCCCTTGAGGGACTGCCCTCTCCTGAGATGATAGGTAATTCAGTTTTCATGCTACCCCAGTCCAGGGCTCACTTGAGTAGTAGAACTTGCCATTCTTGCTGACCTCCAGCTGGTGTCTTGTCCTGTGGTCTGGGGAGAGCGAGATGGAGTTGTCCTTCATAATCTGTCTTCCCAACAGGTAGTTACAGCCATGGGGAAAACCTGGCACCCTGAGCACTTTGTCTGCACCCACTGCCAGGAGGAGATCGGGTCACGGAACTTCTTTGAGCGGGATGGGCAGCCCTACTGCGAGAAGGACTATCACAACCTCTTCTCTCCTCGCTGCTACTACTGCAATGGGCCAATCCTTGATGTGAGTTCCTGGCTAGGGTTCAGAGCGCTGGCGAGGTGCTGCAGGCCTTGCTGTTAAAAGCTCTATCTGTGTGTCCTGTGTGAAAGGTGTTTTTAGGGGCTTCTGTTTTGCCTTTGCCCTTGCTGTGAAAGGCAAACAGCACCATCTGGTACAATGTTTTACATTAATGAGGTGGTTCGGTCCCCCTCACCTTCCCTGAAGCTGTAATCCTTTGAAACTCCATGTGGTTTCATCATTTTGATGATGACTCCCCAGCTCTTTCCTTCCAGCCTGTAGTAACAGCACCAGTGCTAGTCCTGAGAGCTGGAGGGGCCCTGTGTAAGGGAGGAAGCAGTGTGCAGGGTCTTTTTAGGGTTTAAAAAAAAAAGTATGCCATAGGGAAGGTCTAAAAGAGCTAGAGACGGGGAAGAATTGACTCAGCTCTATAAAGAACAATCTATTTTGATGCATGCAGTTGGCAGTGTTGGCTTAAATGTGTTCTTCCCTCCCCTCTTGCTCACCTCCAAGCTGAAGCCATGATTTATGTGACTTTTCTTTGTGTCTTCTTCTGAACAGAAAGTGGTGACGGCTTTGGACAGGACGTGGCACCCTGAACACTTTTTCTGTGCCCAGTGTGGAGTTTTCTTTGGACCTGAAGGTATTATGGGTTAATGTGAGGGGAAAACATTCTCCTTCCTGAACTGCAGACAAGTGTGTAAGGCAGAGCTGCTATTAGGGGCCAGCTTGAGTTGACAGGAAATACTGGAGATGGAAGTTCTAAGGAAGTAGCTGTTCATGGGGGAAGGATCTCACAGAAATCTTTTCACTCTCTTAGTCTCTGGAGAGGATGAACATGTGTGTGCACGGGACAGGAAGGGCAGCAGGAAACAGCTGCCTGCTGTGTGTTAGGGGAGAGGAAGGGTGATCCTACCCACGCTGCTTACCCCACAGAGCTTGGCTGCCATAGATGAGGGTCTGGAGCTGATGATCTTTGTTCTTCTTTGGCAGGATTTCATGAGAAGGATGGCAAAGCCTATTGCCGCAAGGATTACTTTGACATGTTTGCTCCCAAGTGTGGAGGCTGTGCCCGGGCTATCCTGGAAAATTACATTTCTGCCTTAAACACCCTGTGGCATCCTGAGTGCTTTGTCTGCCGGGTAAGAAAACCAAGGTCCTTTGTGGCTGCTGGACCCCTGTCCTTCACATCCTGCAGGCATCTGGTCCCTTATCAGGAAGGAGGAATCTCTGGGGTCATGAGAGACCACCAGCACCACGAGATAAAAACGTCAGCAACCAAACACCTTCTTGCTCCTCTGCCTGTTTACATGAAACCTTCTTGCTGCATTGCTCTTTCTGTTCCCAGCTGCAGTTAAAGGGCTTCTGCAGCAGTGCACAGATAAACAGAGACATGTTTTGTGACCTTTAAGCAATTATAAGCTAAGCTTCTCTCTAAGCACTTGCCTCAACGATCAGATTTTGAGGATCTTCCTCTCATGCTCCATCTGACAACATAAACTAATGAAACTGACCTTGTTCAGACAAGCATGCACGTCAGTGGAATAGTGGCAGGCTCCATACAACAGGCATAATAAACAGGAATACTGCAGATTAAATGCTTGGCACTCTTTCAGAGAGCCTTGCAAATATTATCTCTTACAGGCCCCAAGAGAAGAGCAAATACAAGCCAGTGTTTCCTAGAGTGAAACAAAAAGGCAGAGGCCAGATTAAGCAGCAGAATCACGAGCTGCTGGTTCCTGCTGTTCAGGGCACTGCACTGCCTGTCCATTGCTGTCTGGCTCCTGCAGTGGCACGTAGGGAGTGGAGCCAGAAAATGGCAGTGCTTGCTGCGTGGGGCCAGGCAGGGCCAGGCTTTTTGTGCCAGCACTGAGCTTCTTTCATGCAGTTCTGCTTTCCTTCTCCCTGCTGCCGCACTGCTTGTTTTAGTGGGGCTAGCTCTGATGTCTTCCAAGACACAAAGCAGGATTCTCTTCCCCATTTTACCAAAGCAGAAAAGACTCCCTACTGCTGAGGGAGGAGGCTGTTTATTGGACTAATTGTCTGCACTGGATAAGTTTTGGACTTGCTGTAGGCAAATGGTGTTTGACCATGGTGTTGTGAGTGTTCAGCTGCTTGTGGCTCTGCATGTTGTTTGCTGGGCTCTTGTTTGTGTTGGGGCCCAGCTGAGCTTTCTTTGTGGGAAAGAGGTTGGTGTCTGGGCTTCAGATCTGGCTTCTCCTCTGCGCCCTTCTGCTGCTGTGTTCAATGAATGGAATCCAGATCCTGTGCAAAGCATATCTCTAATGCCAGCTGTGCTGCAGAGACTGCTTTTGAAAACGTTCTTTTTTGTCTTTTGGAACCAGCCCCAAATTCATTACATTTTGCTGTAAGAAAACTTTGTTAGTCCCCGCTCCCTGGTTCCCACTGTGGGGAAGCTGGGCTGAGATTAGGAGATAAAAGGAGAGGAAGGTGCTGCAGTGTTTCCTGTCCCAAGGGAAGGAGTGTTCCTCCTCCTGCCTGGTAGCTGGTTTTATTTCCTTTGTGCGAGGGAAGCCAGCTGAAGCCATGGCTGTTTGCCTTGCCTGTGGCTGTACCTGTCCATCTCTCGGCCTTTCCTCAGAGGCTCTTCTCAACAGACAGGAGTTTGGTTCGGTGCATGGCAGGATGATGAAAGGCAGCAACTCGCACTGCCTGCAGTGAGGCCGGTTTGTGCTGCAGAGCTGAGGTTTGTGAGCTGCCCGCGTCCCCAGCTCATTGCTGAACCTGTCCCCTTCTGCTTTCTCCTCCTGCAGGAATGTTTCACACCATTCATCAACGGCAGCTTCTTCGAGCACGACGGGCAGCCCTACTGTGAGGTGCATTACCACGAGCGCCGCGGCTCGCTGTGCTCTGGCTGCCAGAAGCCCATCACGGGACGCTGCATCACTGCCATGGGCAAGAAATTTCACCCCGAACACTTTGTCTGTGCCTTCTGCCTCAAGCAGCTCAACAAAGGAACCTTCAAAGAACAGAACGACAAGCCCTACTGTCAGAACTGCTTTCTCAAACTCTTCTGTTAAAGGCATCATAGATGGGAGCTAAGCATCTTTCTGCCGCCCCTTGTGGCAGTTCTGTCTCTTTGAACATTACTGTGATTTAGAAACCTTACCAGGCAGGGGAGGGGGCGGGTGGCAGTGCTCAGTGCTGCTGCAGAGAGGCAGTAGATCCAGAGATGAGACGGACCATTAAACTGGAAATGCCCTTGCTGTGTCTCAGTAGAGAGAGGCTCGGTCCCCTCATTACGGTGTATCTGTGTATGACTGACAGCTGAGCTTAGCCCCAGGGCTCCACGGGGAGGCTGTCCTCAGCCCCTGCTGCCTGTGTCAGCTCTGCATGCAGGATTCTGCCTGTGTCAGCTCTGGGCAAACCCTGACACTTGCAGACAGCAGTTTTGACACCTGGCACAGCGAGGGCACCCCGTGATCTCAGCAGCACCCTGCCTCTGCTCCTAGAGCCACGTGGCATGTGTGACTTACAGACCAGAGCCTCAGCACAGGCTGCCACGGCCCTGCAAGGGTCTCTCCAGTTCCATTACACTGTAAGGAGTTGATACCACTTTTTGTTGTTGTTTTAAGAGGAATGAAGGTGTTACTCTGTGGGTTCTTCCTGGTTTGTTACTCCGTGCCTCTTCTCAGCACGTGGAAGCAGTGGGTGCTGTCCCCCTTCAGAAGCGTTGGTGCAGGCAGTCAGAGCGCAGCACTGCTGCCCATCCCCAGCAGGAGTGCAGGCTGTGTCCCACTGTCAGGACCCGAGCTCCTCCCAAGGGAGGGGGGGAAGAAGCGGAGGGGTTTAAGAAGCCAGGAAACAAACCAAGTCCTAACTTTCTCTTTCTTCTTCCTCTCTTTGCTAACGAGAGCTGCCAGCCTTCGGCCCTTCCCCTCTCTGCTCCCGTCCCACGTGTGCTACTAAGAGATGCTACAGCAATAACTTTTATACTGACTGTTCTGCCAAACCCCGGGCGGGCTCTGCGACACGCCCGGTTTTACTATGGGAACGAATACTGTATCCTGTCTTTGATAAGATTTCTACACTGATTTTCGAATTCGTATCTAATTTGCTTTTAATCCTCTTATACAGAAATTGGTTTTGAAGTGATTTTAAAGAGAGCGACTTTTCTATCAGCGCTGCGGTGGCGGTGCCGTTCAACCCAACGGGCGCGGGGCGCCGCTTAGCGCGGCTCGGGGCCGGGGAGCGCAGCTCGTGCTGCGGGGCGGGGCGGGGCGGAGAGCCGCGGGGGGCGGAGCGCCGTGCCGGGCTGTGCCGGTGCCGCCTCCGCACAACGGCGCTACGGGCGGGCCGAGCCCCGCAGCCCTCGGAAGGCAATAACCGGCTCTGCTGGGCCTCGCCGCGTCGCCTCCCCGCCATGTAACGCTCTCCCTGCGCTTTGCTTCCATTTACGTTCTTGCAGTTACGCCAATAAAGTTTGTACCGTTATTCCGTGCCGGTGCCGCTCTGTTCGTCAGCGCCGCCCCCTCCGTTGCAGCGCGCTCCTCCGGCCGCTAGGGAGCGCGCCGCGCCTTCCGCCGTAGTGCGGCACCGCTCCCTTGAGTGACGAGTGCGTCGCCCAACCGGAGCCGCCGTCCGCCCCGATTGGCGGTTGCGGGCAGCCAATGGGCTGCACGAGAACCCTCCCGTGGCTCGCTGCGATTGGGCGAGAGCCGCTGTATGAAAGGCGGCGGCCCCGCCCTCCGGCCCTTCTTTCCCGGAGCCCTCGTGGAGGTGGGTGCGCCGCGCGGCGCCTCCCGGGCGGCTGTAGGCCCGAAGCGCCCCGGAGGTGTCGGGGTCACGGGGGGAGAGCGGAGTCCGGGCTCGGGAGGGTGGGGAAGCGGGCAGGGCGCGGGGCCGGCTGACCGCGCCTTTCTCGCAGCTCACAGCTCGTCTTTAAACCCGCCGGGCGATCCTTGGAGCACCGCCGCGATGCCCAGGGAAGACAGGGCGACGTGGAAGTCCAACTACTTCATGAAAATCATCGTGAGTGCCGCTGGGGCGCCGGGGGGAGCGGGGCCGGGCCGCGCCTTGCGGCTGCTTGCGCGATGCGGGCAGGGCCCGAGCGCCGCCCGGCCGTGATAAACGCGTTGGGAAGCGCACGGAGCGGCCGGAGCTGCGCGGTGCTGACGGTGCTCCGTGTGCCGCAGCAACTGCTGGATGATTACCCGAAATGCTTCGTGGTGGGAGCGGACAACGTGGGCTCCAAGCAGATGCAGCAGATCCGCATGTCGCTGCGCGGGAAGGCCGTGGTGCTGATGGGGAAGAACACGATGATGCGCAAAGCCATCCGCGGGCACCTGGAGAACAACCCCGCCTTGGAGAAGTGCGTACCGCCCCGAGCCTCCCTGGGATGCGTGTGAGGAGCGGGGCTGAATGCTTTGCTTTCCTTCAGGCTGCTGCCTCACATCCGTGGGAACGTGGGCTTTGTCTTCACCAAGGAGGATCTGACCGAGATCCGGGACATGCTGCTGGCCAACAAGGTACGCGGTGGGACCTCGCAGTGCCGGGGCTGGCGGTTGCTGAGTTAAAGATAATACAGAGCTGTCAGGGTTACCTGGTGGTTGGTAGCCCCTCCAGATGTGGGTGACTCAGCCGTGTTTAATTCCATCTCACTTGTGCGTGCCCAGCTGACATCCATCCTGCTGGAGCACATCGGGATGAGGCTGATGCCCCTGAGAGGTCAGCACTCCTCCAACAGCTCTCCTTGTTTCTTCTTCCTGCAGGTGCCAGCAGCTGCTCGTGCTGGTGCGATTGCTCCCTGTGATGTGACTGTGCCCGCACAGAACACTGGTCTTGGACCTGAGAAGACCTCATTTTTCCAGGCCTTGGGCATCACCACAAAGATTTCCAGAGGGACCATTGAAATTCTGGTCAGGAGCAAGGATTGATGATTCCATCTGTAATGAGATGCCGTTTTAGCAGTCTCACTGCTTCATTTTGGGCTTGGTTCAGTTTGGTGGTGGAGTGGGACATGGGTTTAAGTTCCTCCATCAATTCCCAGCTGTGAGGAGGATTAATGAGCTGTAAGGAGCCGAGTTAAGGCACTGCTTTCCTCTGGGTGAGCAGCACTTGCTCATGAGGCCTTAGCTTGTGGAGGTGAACTTTCAGTGTCTTTTCCTTGTGCTCCTTTATTACTTCAGTTCCATTTCTTGTCATTAGGAACATACTTTTGTGTGCTGCTGTATTGGTTTACCTGAATATCTCAGTGTGTATTCACTCATTTTTCCTCTTCTTTTCTCAGAGTGATGTGCAGCTCATTAAAACCGGAGACAAAGTGGGTGCCAGCGAAGCCACCCTGCTGAACATGCTGAACATCTCTCCCTTCTCCTTTGGACTGGTGATCCAGCAGGTCTTTGACAATGGCAGCATTTACAACCCTGAAGTGCTGGACATCACTGAGGAGACCCTGCACAAGCGTTTCCTGGAGGTCAGTGCTACAGCCCCTGTTTATTATTATGTTCAGATATTTCACTGCAGGCAGAAAAGGAACAGGAGGTCCTGTCCCAGGGCGGAGTGTCGCCTCTGGTGTTTTCTGCAGTGCTGCAGAGCCAGGAGCTCTCCCAGGTGTCCTGGAGAAACAGTTGGCCAAGGAGTGCCTTCTGTTGGCTGTTTTGGCTGAAGCAAGGGAAAACATACCATGTCTTTCATTAACTGAGGTGTGTGTGGAATCGGTGAACATGTTAAGACAGTGAAGCACGTGTGGAATCAGGAAGAGGCTTCAGAAAAGTCTGGAGATGGTTTAGATACCGATGTCTTGTGTAGTTCACCGGAGCTGTGTTACGTGGGTTCTGTGCGATGTGCCACTGCCTGTTGGTTGGAGCCTGTGTGCTGGCCCCACACAGACACAAACTTCTCCCTCGCAGGGTGTTCGTAACGTTGCCAGCGTCTGCCTGCAGATCGGGTACCCGACCATCGCTTCTGTGCCCCACTCCATTGTCAATGGGTACAAGCGGGTGCTGGCAGTGGCGGTGGAGACCGACTACAGTTTCCCACTGGCTGAAAAGGTAACGGCCACAGCTGACCCACGGCTCTGGGGCTGTCGGGGCTCACAGCGCTTGCAGCGAGTGTTACTTCTTTGGTAGCAAAGGCCCCATCCTGGCAGACATGCAGTTTGCCTGAGCTCTGTGTTTCCCTTTGCAGGTGAAGGCATTCCTGGCCGACCCCTCCGCCTTCGTGGCGGCTGCTCCAGTGGTCACTGAAACAGCTGCACCTGCTGCTGCTGCTGCCCCGGCCAAGGAGGCGCCGAAGGAGGAATCTGAGGAGTCCGATGAAGACATGGGCTTCGGCCTCTTCGACTAGCGGGCTGCCGGCCCTGCGGCCGCAAATAAAGCTCTGTACCGAACGCTGTCCCGTGTCCCGGCGCTGTGCTCGGTGCTCCGGCGGGCGGGGCGGGGCGGGGCGGGGCGGGCAGCGGTGCGGCGCCCCCTGCAGGCGGGGAGGAAGGGGCTGAGCGGGGTGGGCTGGGCTGTTGCAACGCGCCCCCTGCAGGCGGGGTGGGGTGATCGGGCGCAGTGTTGTATTTGTCCCGGCATGCCTTGCGGCGCTCGCCGCACCGGAAGTAGGGAGCGCTTCCGGGGGCGCAGGCGGCGCCATGGCGGCCGACACGCAGGTGGGTGCGGGACGGGTCCGTAGCGGCGGCGGTCCGGCGGTGGCGGCCGGGATCCTCGCGGCTCGGCCTCACCGTGCCTCTCCCCGCCGCCCTCTTTCGGCCCTTCCTTGCGGCCTGGCTCGGTGCCGCGGGGACGTGGCGGTCAGCTGGGGGTGGGAGGGCCGCGCCGGAGCCGCCGGGAGTTGGGGAGGGGAGGCGAGGCAGCGCTGGAGCCGCGTCCCGCCCGGCCATGCTCTGTGCCTCTGTGGGGCGCGGCGCACCGCTCGGCTCCCAGCGGAGAGCCCGAGGGCCTCGCGTCCCGCCGCTGCTCCCTGGGCGCTTCCCGGCGCTCCGACACGTACTCGGTGTCCCACGAAGAACCCTGCGCCGCAGCCGATGCCGCTCCCGCCCGTCCGCGCTGCCGGCGGAGTCCCTCGGTGGTGCCGCACGGCTGGGCTGCCGGCACAATTAACTGGTTTTTCACGTTTGCGTGTCTCCGCACTGCTGATTCAGCAGCACGAGGAAACGCGGCTCGGTTGGTTCGCATAGGATGAGGGCTGAAGGCTTCTAAAGGAGATCCTTAGATCCTTTACGTCTGCGGTACCGTCCCTCTGGGCCGGGGATGCCCTCCAGGCGCCAAGCGGCGTCCCCTCCTCCGGGACGGACCGCCCCCCGTGCCCGGTCCCTGTGCCCCGCCGAGAGGGCTGTGCTGGCGGCAGCTCATGGGCCGTGCGGAGGCGATCCCCGCTCCTCAGGTCGCTGTTTCCTGTGCTTCTGAAACGTCCTTTGTGGCAAAGCCGGTGACGCTTTGCCTGGAGAGTCGTTCAGCTTCAGAGGTGAATTTTACAAGCCTTTCCTGGAGCCACGTTGTTTCAGCTGAAGTGAATGCAGGGCGTAGCAGGCTGTGATCCTGAGCGCTGGTCGGGCTGCACAAAGCCTTTTCTCACACGTAATTTTAAAACTTGTACGTTCCTTGGCGCAGTTTCAGCAGCTGAAGGAACAAATCTCTGAGAATCGAAACTGCCTTCCAGTTTTTTCTCACCATCCGCACTGCATGAAGGCTGCCTCAGGCTTGTGTCTCACTCGGCCAGCTGTCTCAGGCCCCGGCAGCCTGCATGTGCAGGAACACAGCAGCCGCGGTAACGCGGGCATGCAAAGGCATTCAGTTCTGTTTATTTTGTTTTGCTTGGGTGCTATTGACGGCATAAGGGAGGAATTTTATAGCAAGGCACAAATTCTTCTAATCTGATGAGTCCGGTGTACAAAGCTCCTGGGCCGTGTATGCTGATCCTGGATGAGAATAAAGGCAAGTTGTGCATTCTGGTCCTGATTCCTTGCAAGTGGTTTCACAGCCAATGACAGAAACCACAGGTCAATGTTCTAGGAAGTGTGGTGAACTCTGTGGTGGGCCCCCAATAGTTAGAAGTGCATTTAAGGGGTTCTTTAGGAGGTAGCACACCCCTAAAAAGTACCTTTGCATTCTTGAAGTGCATTGGGTTTTGGCTTTTCAGGTCCCTGTGCTCTCA